GAAACATTGTCTGGGGAGCAAACACGAAGAGAATTGTTATGTGCAGCATTGAAGTGTTGTTAAGAGTGAACTGGCCTGTGGGTAGACTTCTGACCTGCTTTTACTGCTTCTCCTTCAAAGCATAAAAAGATAAAGAAGGAATGAAGTGGAACCAGGGTGAGTGCTCGCCAAAGCTCCAGTCCCGGGAACATAAAAATGGCATCGAGTGTACACTGTCAAATCAGGTTTTCCAAGTGAGAGAAAGAAAGAAAGAAAGAAAGAAAGGAAGGAAGGAAGGTTTTACTTTAAAGAGATTGTTTTTACCTTTCTCTGAAATTACTTTGTTTTCTGAAACTCCAATGAAGAATTGTACCTTCCAAGTCGGGGACACCATCCGCACACTTTCTTACGATGCTACCTCAAAGCCATGGCATTCCCCACCAACATCCCAAACTCCAACAGGCCTACAGGAAGGCACACTGCACGCTACCACTGTCCCACACACAGGAAGATAAGAAAGGGAATATCACACATTTCCAAGCACTAACAGAGTAATGAATCCCTCCCCTTTAGTCACAGCGGATACCTCAGAGCATGGAGCTTTACCTTCAGAAGGGTACTGATAAATGCTTCTGAGGGTTGGAATGCCTATGCTCAAAGTTAAGGGCGGGAAATACAACCAGGTGCGTGGACAGTGCTCCAGGCAGTAAGTGCTTATCCGTGATTCCTACTGTGCATTAGCACTTGGGGGAAAGTTCTCAGTACCTGGAACACATTGGACCCAAGCATGAATCGGGTGCAACTTCCCTGAGGGGACCAGGGAGCACCTGGGCAGGGTGGGGAGCCTCCAGACCAGATCTGCCACATCTGTCCACCTACTTCCCATGAAGTCTGGCACAGCTTTCTTTCAGCTGCCAAGCATTCTGGAGGGGAAAGAGGGGGAGTAGAGAGAGCTACTGCTGAACTATGCAAGCTTCCCAACTCTAAGGGAGACACATCCACTTCCCTGAGAAAGTTCACCTAGAGACAAAACAGTGAAAGTCTTTAACTATGAAATGTCTGGGAGGCTACAGGAGGGGGCTGGGAGGAGTATGCCCATTCCTCCAAGGGCCCAAAGAAGAGAGCAGAGCAGGGTGTGCTGGGGACCTGGGGAATCCCGGGACCTAGCACCAGGTTTTGCAAAGAGCGTTTCCTGTTTAGAAAAAGTACCTCCATAAGGTCACATACACACTGAACTTCCAACAGGCAAATATCACACCTGTGATATCTGAGAGACTATACCTACACCTGTACTTTGAGAGACAACACTGCAAGCCATCAAAACGTCAACTAACATGTCAACATTTCCCATGAGTTCATGGTTTGCAAACCTACTCAATTCTTAAGTTATGCGTTAAAAATGGGAAGAATTTTCTTTTTCTGTAGCAGAGAAACAATCCCTCTGAGCGGGCACGTATGCACGCACGCAGGTGTGTGTGTATTGAGAGAAGGGACAAGTGCACAAGGATCTGTGTGTGTATGTGTGTGTATGAAGTGGGAGAAAGAACAAGAGCAGAAAAGGGTGTGTGTGTGTATTAAGTGAGAGAAAGAACAAGTGCAGAAGGGGCTGTCCGAGCGGGAACTCACTAGTAGAGCAGCCCTGCCGTCTCAGGAAAGAGCCTGCAGGCACAGGAAGATTCGACCGGCCAGAGCTAGGTGCCACCGGCCACTCCAGCTTGTCTGTTACTTGAGGAAGAGCACCTGCGCCCTGCGGAGAGCAGGGGCCTGCCCACCGGGGCTGCGGTCAGTGCGCAGCTCAGCCCGCAAAAGAGCCGACCCGCGGGGAAGGCCGGCCCGGTCCTGGACTAGCAGCTCTGACAGTACCGAGCAGCACCCATTGCTCGGCACCCCTGCACAGCGGGTCGAAGGTCACCGGTGGAAAGGTCGAAGATCAACTGTGTCAGCCTAGGTGGGAGCTGCCCCGCCCAGCCGCGCCCCCCAGACCCGGTCGGCCGCACTTACAGGTGACGATGGGCTTGTTCTCCATGGTGTAGACCACCGGCGGCTGCGGCTCCTCAGGGGCGTCCATGGGCGTCCGGCGTCACCGGCCCGGCCCCCCGCCCCCCATGGGTACCCGAGGCCGCGCGGGGCCCGCTGAGCCCGCGCCTTCGCGCTGCCGGCCCCAGGCAGCTCCTAGCCGGCCGCCCGCCGCCGCCGGCCGCGTCCACTTCCGGCCCCGGCGCCGCCGCGTGACCACTTCCGGGGCGCGCCCCTCAAAGGGGCGGGCCCGCCGCCGCCTGCCCTCCTACGGAAAAGGCCGCGTGCCGGGCGGGCGGGCGGAGCGAGGCGAGGTTGCTGCAGCTGTTGCAGGGCAGGAGACGGCCCTGTCTCGAAGCTCGGGCAGTCCCGAGGGCTGCGGGAGACAGCGGGTAGTGCACCTGCCTGCGCTCCGGGACCCGTGCTTGTCACCTGCCCAGGCTCCGGGACCCTTGGACCCTTGGTTGACTTCGTCTTACCTCCCTAAATTGGATGAACCTCGGGTTCGCACCTGCAGATGCTCCCTGACCCTCATCCTCGCTCCTATCAGTGGGCCTCCACTGCCACTCCTTGCGGGATTCCCGCTATACCCCAAGAGAGCTTCCTGCTTTCCGGCCTCTGCAGGATGCCTCAAAAAATCCATCAAAACCTTGGATCGGTTTTTACCTCTGGACAAGCTCAGCTGCGCTGTGCCAAGCTGAGTCCCTGCACGCTTGTTAACACCGATTTGCCAAGTGTGCTAACTCAAAGCAACGGAGATTGAAAGCGTTCCTACCCACCCGCTACAGCTCAAAATCCTTTGTGTGCACCATCCCCTTGCAGGCCAACTTCCCACTGTCCTTTCTTACAGTTTGTTTCCTCGTAGGGTTAACACTCAGTACTCTTTCCCTTGGCTCGCAAAATGTAGGGCTATGCTCTTCCCGGGCCCCACCTTCGCCAGCTCTGACCATCCATATCTGGTACTACTTTGAAGTCACAGGATGTTGGGAATGTTGCAAAACCAAATCTTACTTGGAACTGCGTAAAAATAAAGCAGATAGACCTATGGGAGCTTTCGCAGATAGAATTCAGTGTGCACATGGAATGTCTGAGCATGCGTGTTGGTGTGGACTTCAGGCAACTGATTAGGGCAGTTGTCGCTGGCAGAGGGGTCCAGAGACTGCAAAAACTCCCAAGGTGGTGGCCCTTGTTCAGTTAAGCGTGTGTAGGATGACGGTGCAAAAAACACAACTCTCCCCTCTAATGGAATAAGAGATGGTTTATTTTGGAACTAAATTTGAGTGACCAACCGCCCAGGAAACAAGGGTTTGGAGAACTCTTCTGAGACATCCCAAGCAGGTTACCCCAGGTTTCATGTTCCCCCACCACGGAGGCAGTTTGAAGAAGTTTTATAGTAGCAGAGCATAAAAAGTCATAAATCAAGACAATTTAAAATACGTTTGTGGGTACATCAAAGATGCAGTGACAGCAAGATGGAGGAATCTCTCCTGCTGGTCTCAAGTGACATTCTTACTTAGCTCTGGAGTTGGTGGAAGCTAGTCCGCTAAATTGATAGGCTCCAAAGGTTTTTGTCTATTGTCACAGGGTGCTAGTTCTGGCATGGGCAGTTGTTAGGAATAATTCTTAAGAAGAGCCTCTCTGCCGACGCAAATAATTCCAATCAGACCAAATTAGACCAAATAAAAGATGCCCATGTTTAATGCAGTGCTCCTGGGTGGCCCCAAGAAAGCCTGGCGAGGGGGAGAAAGCAAGGGAGACCACACAAACCCCAGAGACCACATATTCCTTCTTTGGGCAGCAGCCTAAATAGCCTATAGGAGTGGTCCTGACCCTACCTGGGGAGGGGTCACTGCTCGGCGGGCTTTCCCAGAGGTGTTCTGACCATGGCAACTCCCAGGAGAGAGCCTTAGGATGGCTGCCAGGGCCTGGGGTAACACTTCCAATCAGCAATGAGTGGCAATTTAGGGGGCGAAAGCCGGGCTGTGACAACACAATTAGCCTCCAGACCTTCAATGTCACACACTCTCTCCATCACTGTAGTTGTAACTAGTCAGCCTTTGCACACGTAGCTCCTTTCCAGGAATTCTGGTTCACAGAAATGAGATCCAGGTTTCTCAGGAGCAACAGGGACACTCAAGGCCAAGCAGCAGGACATTCCGCTGAGAGGGTAAAGACCCTGTCCCCAAGCCACAGGCTGCCTCTACAGAGTGACAGAAGGACTTCTGGTTTACATGCCAGCACAGTTTTTGCCCCTTCCCCTGCTTTTTTGTTTCTAGCAGCCCTTTAACAATTACAGTCGATTCTTAGCCCTATATCAGAGGCTGTGGCAGTCCCTGCCCTCCAATAAAGCCTACAGCAAGGACTGGATATAATCTGATCAAGTTGGAGATGGAGTCCTACCAGTTAGAGGGACTGGTGAGGGAGGCACCTTGAACAGTCTTTAACACAGACAAACCTGCAAAAACCTCAGAGACCAAAAGGGGCACATAGACTGGGCTGGCTCTCACGGAACAGAAGTTGCCAAGGAGAAGAGAGTGAGAGTAAGACATGGGAGAAAATTAAAGATAATAGCAAAAAAGTCATAGTGAGAGCTATTTATGCACAGGTTAGAAAACTTGGCAAAGCTGGGTGTGGCGGCGCATGTCTTTAATCCCAGCGCTTGAGAGGCAGAAGCAGGCACATCTCTGGGAGTTCGAGGACAGCCTGGTCTACTAATTGAGTTACACAGAGAAACCCTGTCTTGAAAAACCAAATAAATAAATAATAAATAAATAAAATAAAACTTGACAAACTCTGAGTGAGATACTGTGGAGGTTTGACAGAAAATGGCTCCCAAAGGGAGTGGCACTATTAGGAGGTGTGGTCTTGAAGGATGTATGTCACTGTGGGGTGGGCTTTGAGGTCTCTTTTCTCAGGCTTCACTCGGTGTGACAATCAGTCGACTTCCTGTTGCCTTCTGGTTAAGATGTAGCCAGCACCACATCAGCCTGCAGGCGCCATGTTCCCCTTCATGATGATAACGGACTGAACCTCTGAAACGGTGAGCCACCATCTTAATTAACTGTTTTCTTTGAAAGAGCTGAGGTAGTCATGGTGTCTCCTTGCAACACTAAAAGCCCTAAGACAGACACATACAAAGATCACAGGCAGGTGAGCTACTGCAGAGCAGAGCTGAAGAGGGAAGTGTAAGGCAGACAAAAAACATGGGCATTACCTTCAAAGGCATGATGACAAGGGTGGAGCTTGCTTCTTATCAGAAGCCGGAGATCTGAAACGAGGTGGAAACTCATTACAATTTTTATTTATTTCGTGTGTTACATATGTGTGGCACAGGCACGTGTACGTGCCTTGGTGTGCATGTGGAGGTCAGAGAAAACTTTCAGGACTCAGTTTTAATCGTTCTACTTTGGGGTCAAACTCAGATTGTCAGACTCTGCAGCATAAACCTCTACCCCCTGAGCCAGCGCACCTGCTCTCTGAAACAGTCAAAATACCAAATTTAAAAACACGTCAGCTTCGAACAGTACCAAATGCAAATTATCCTTCAAAGTAGCAGCAGACAATAAAGACATCTCAGGTGGCCCGAGGGCAGAGTGTGCAAGACCCAGAAGACCTCCTCGGACAGGGGAAAATAGGACCAGATGAAAACACTGAGGCCCAGGAAGGAAGGCACCAAAAACAACCAATAAGGTCTGGAGAGCTGGCTCAGCACTTAAGTGCACTGACTGCTCCCCACAGAGGTCCCATGTTCAATTCCCAGCAACCACATGGTGGTTCACAACCATTCATAATGAGATATGGTGCCCTCTTCTGGACTGCAGGCGGACATGCAGGGAGAATGTTGTATCTATAATAAATAAGCAAATCTTTAAAAAAAACAAAAAAACAAAAAAAACCCCAACAAGTTAAGTAGTGGTAGTATGTGCACCTTTAATCCCAGCACTGGGAAGGCAGAGGCAGGAGAATCTCTATGAGTTCCCAGCAAGTTCCAGGTCAGCCAGGGCTACACAAAGAAACTTTGTCTCAAATAACCAGAAGAAAACAAACAAACAAACAAAAAAACAACAAACAGTAAATATGAAGTTCCAGGCTAGCCCCTCTAGCTGCTACTCACTTTTTTGTTTTATTTACTGTTTTTACATCCCAACCAAAGTTTCTCCTCCCTCCTTCCCCCCAACCACTCCTCGTTCATTTCTCTTCAGAAAAGGGCAGGCCTCCCGTGGGTGCCAACCAGCCATGGTACATCAAGGTGTAGTGAGACTAGGCACTGCCCAGCTCTCTTCACTTCTTTATTAGATTGACACGGGGTCCTGAAGTGGGAAATTCTTTAATATAATAGCAAGGACACAGATGGTCACCCCTATAGCTAAACCACCAGGGAAAGGAGTCAAAAAGATTTAGCTGACTCAATGAACTCAAAAGACCTCAAGACAAGACAGAAAGGACTGACTGAGAAACGGCCCCTCAGTTAAGAGCATGGACTGACCTTCCAGACACCTGCGTTTGATCCTCAGCACCGACCTGGCAGCAAACAGCCATGGGGTTAACTCCAGGCCCCCCGAGATCCTACACCCTCTCCTGGCCTCTGTGGGAACCAAGCGTGCACATGGTGCACAGACACACAGGCAGGCAAAACACCAGGCACACCAAAAGAGAAAAAAGAACAAAAACATAAAAACAAGAAGTGGACAGAAGGCGGCTGCATAGCCCAGTACAAGCTGAGCATGTGCCAAACCCTGGATTAATGGCCAGCGCCACAAAAATAAACATGAAAGGGAGAGGAGGAGGGAGGGAGGGAGGGAGGAAGGGAGGGAGGGAGGGAGAGAGGGAGAGCTTGTGGTGCTGAATTGAGACTGGCCCCCCGTAGGCTCATATGTTTGAATGCTTGGGCCCCAGGTATCAGAACCATGTGGGAAGCGTTAGGAGTGTGGCTTTGTTGGAGCACGTATAGCTTTACTGGACTAGCTGCACCGCTGGAGGTGGGCTCTGAGGCTTCCAAAGCTCACATCAGACCCAGGCTTGCTTTCTCTTTCTCTCTGCCTCCAGCCTGCAGGTCAGAGGTGAGCTCTCAGCTACTGCTCCTGTGCCATGCCTGTCTGCCTGCCCTCCACCACACTCCCCGCCATGATGGTCACAGACTCACCATCTGTGAGGTAAGCAAGCCCCCAGTTAAGTGCTTCCTTTTCTAAGTTGCCTTGGTCATGGTGTCTCATCACAGTTCTCCAGTCACTAAGACAGTGCTCACCGTACACTAGCCTTGTTGTGATCTATTCACTACTTTTGTTGCTGTAACCAAATACCCAATATGAAGAAGCCTAAGAGAGGACAGAGCCAGGTGGTGGTGCAACTCTTTGATCCCAGCACTCAGGAGGCAGAGGCAAGAGGATCTCTGTGAGTTCGAGGACAGCCTGGTCTACAGCGTGAGTTCCAGGACAGCCAGGACCACACAGAGAAACCCTGGAGAGAGGAGGGGGGAGGGCTTTTTTTGGCTCATGGTTTGAGAATACAGCCACCATAGCCAGGAAGGTATGGTAGATTATGGTGGCAAGAGGATATGGTTGAAATTCCCTACATCTGGGCAAATCAGGACCAGGGCTGGGGGTGGGGTGGGGGGGTGGGATGGGGAAGTGACCAACCTCAGTTTGATTTCTCCTTTTTCCCTTTTAATTCACAGGGAGACCCCAGGCCTTGGGATGGTGACACTCACACTGTGGACACGGCTTCTGTCTCAGGTAATCCTGTCTGGAAAGGCTACAAACACACCCAAAGGCGTACCTCATTAATGCCATAGACCTCTCTCTCTTTCTCTCTCTCTCTCTCTCTCTCTCTCTCTCTCTCTCTCTCAATTTTAGTTAATGGTGTAGCTGGGTAGGAGAAGATTTGTTGAGTAAGCACAAGGCTATGGGTTCAATTTCCGGCCTCTTGATTTCTCGCTCACATATTCCCCCTCCCCCACTATGTCACAATCGCTAAAATTAAGTAAAAATTCAAAGTTCCTAGGAACGAAGGTGTGGGCTCCACAGCCTGCTCTCCATGTCTCTTGTTTGTCAGGACAGACAGCGGAGTACAGCCGCCCGCCCCAAGGAAACCCCCACAGCTGCTCCTCGTGAAGATGTGGGCACTGGCTTGGAACCAGGGCAGCGCCACAGGAAGGTTTTCCTTCCGAAGGGAGGGATGGCTAGGGTGAGCCTGCAATCTGTGCTAGGTGTCACTCTGGCTCCCCTGGCCTAGAAGTGGGCTTTCTGTTCCCATGGGAACTTAGAAAATACTTGGACTTGGCAAAAAACGGTCCCATTGATTCCTTCCCTTTTCTACTAGAAAATGCTACTTCCCCCATTAATCAATACCTGTGGGTTTTTCCAGATCCCCTTCTCATGAGACAGCGCTTTGTTTTGATTTGTTGGTTTGGGAAGCCGATGGGCCCAGAACGGTCTTTCCCGATAGCTCATGATGTGCTCAATTATATGCCTAGTTATTATGTATGCTTTATGGAAGGGAAGACTTTGCTTGCCCCACCCCCAAAGTTCAGGGTCAAAAAGAACGGCAAGTCAGCAAATGTTCATAGCCAGTTTACTCAGGGTGGTCCCAAATTGGGTACAACATAGATGTCCTTCAGTGGGTGGACAAACTGGAGCCCGGCTATACCTTAGAACACTAAGTCAGCAAAGAAAAGGAATGAACTCTGTCGCTGCAACAACCCGGGGAGTCTCCAGAGAGGACGCTGAGAACCTCCAAGCCTTGCTGTGTCAAGCATGAAACGTGGGTGGAAAAACAAACACCAGAGAAGTGGAGAGACCAGAGGTTGCCATGGAATGTGGGGGTACAGTGAAAGTGGGGAGGCTATGAAGGATAGTTTGTGGGATCCCCCTGGAGAGGAATGGCCTGTAGCAGAATGGTATTAACAGTATTGATGTTGGTAACTGGTGTTTTGGTTTGGATATGAAGATCCCTCCCCCAAAAGACTCACATGTTGATGGCTTGGCATCTGGTTGGTGGTGCCATAGAGAGATGATTGGATGGTGAGCTCCAATCTATTATTATTATTATTATTTGTGTCTTTCACATCATGCCCACCCAAAAGAAAATAAAACAAGCCGGGCGGTGGTGGCGCACGCCTTTAATCCCAGCACTCGGGAGGCAGAGGCAGGAGGATCTCTGTGAGTTCAAGACCAGCCTGGTCTACAAGAGCTAGTTCCAGGACAGGCTCCAAAACCACAGAGAAACCCTGTCTCGAAAAAACCAAAAAAAAAAAAAAAGAAAAAGAAAAAAAAGAAAAGAAAAAAAAAGAAAAGAAAACAAGTTAAAATTTAAGAGAAAAGAAAGAAAAAAAGGAAGAAGAAAAAAAATCTCGCCATGGAAGCTGCAGTGTGACACAGTGAGTCTTGCAGTAAATCCCTTTATCCATACATCTTTACACACAGGTGTTTATTGCAAAGGATCATTGGTCTGATTTGAGGCCCCTGGGCTCTGCTGCACCATCATCACTGGGCCTCACTGGGACTCTTCCTGGACTCACATTGTTGCTGCCCTGTGTCTTGGATATCCTGCAGCCCTGGATCCACAGGACTGACACCCCACCCCCACTATGCCCCATACTCCAGCAGATCACAGATGGGGTGAATATTGGGGTGGGCCAGCACATAACCCTGGTTCTGGGCCTGAGTGGCCGTAGGGCTGGTCAGCCCCTCAGCTCTTCCGTCTTTGCCACCGGGATGGAGAGCGCCAATTTTCTTGACTAATAACCCAATGACTGCTTCCTAAGTGAAGGGACTGCTGAGAGGTGGAGCCTAGGTGGAGTAAAGAGGGCTTGCCCTGTGACCTATGGCCTGTGGCATATGCCCTATGACCGAGTTTCATTTCTGTTGCTGGGATAAAGAGCCACTTAGCAGATAGAGGTTTATTTTTACTCACAATTCTAGACTACGGTCCGTCAAACAAGCGAGTAAAGGAGCAGGGACAGCTAGTGACATCCTGACAACTGTCAGGAGCAGAAAGAAATGGAGCCCATGCCACTCCTCAACTGACATTCTCTACATTCATACAATCCAGGGCCCCAAACCAGGGAGTGGAGCTGCCCACTGTGTGTGTGTGTGTGTGCGCCTGCATGCAGATTTCTGCTGCCATGATGCTCATTCAGCCTCCCACCAATCCAAAACCATGGACCATGGAGCCCACCGATGACTTGGAAAACTGAGCCGAAATCAACCTGTCGCCCTTTAGGTCATTCTTCACAGGTATTTGTCACAGTCATGGATAAGGACCGGACACACCTGGTTAGAACATTGTCCGCAGTTCTGTAAAGATTTGACTACCACACCCAGCGGTGAGCAGGGACTTACAAGCCCATCCCTCCTCTGAGGACTGCCAATTTGTATGCTCTCAAAATTCAGCTTAGTGTTTTATTTTATTTATTTATCTATCTCTGGCTATTTGAGACAGAGTCTCTCTATGTAGTCCTGGCTGTCCTGGAAGTTACTATGTAGACCAGACTGGCCTTTAACTCACAGGGATCTGCCTTCCTCTGCCTCCTGAGTGCTGGCATTAAAGGCGTGCACCACCACGGCTGGCTGTCAGCTACTATTTTGAGAAGCCACCCAACTTGAAAGGGGTATTGTCTGAATTTCAGGTCATTCATGAGGTGTCTCAGGCATCTCCCCCCTGCAAGCCCCTCATGAAGTCTCTAGGCATCTGGGAACATCTGCGCATGCAGGCCAGACGTCTGACTCAGCCATCCCCTGGAGGACGCTTCTCTGCTGGCATTTAACGAATGCTTCCCTAAGGAGTATTCATTAGGAGCTCAGAGAGTCTGCCAGGGAGGTAAAAACAGTGACAGTTATAGGGAGATAAGCAAATGGCATGCAAACATTATTCTCCTGCTAAGTTAAACTAAGTCCAGGGCGGGAACAGAGTCGAGGTGGTAGGATGTGAGAACATACATCCCAGACTGCCCAAAGGGAAGATGCTCTGAGAAGCTGTGGCAGCCACTACCCAGGGCGGCAGGGATACCTTGGGGGGTATCCCTACCACATACACCCACTCTCGTACCTCTTCTTTGGGGTCTCATCTTTTCTGGCCCTGTTCTGTGTGCTCTTGTCAGAGGTGGCTCTCTCCATCTGCTTGTGCAGGCACAGTGTGGCTTCTGACGTCTCTTAAATGAGTATCAATAAAGAAATCCAACCTGGCCCTGGGGACAGCGGTTCCCGACACTGTTTGATGTTTCTATCTTTAGCTCAGCTGTCTTTTTCCTTGGCTCCTCACTCTCTCCCACCATGCCAAGCTTATTCCCGGGAAATCTGTCCCTGCCTGTGCCCATGAACCTCAGGCCAGGAGCCACCACTGTACTGAGGTCCTCACCTGAGCTTCACCTCAGCCAGGGCTGTTGTCCTGGAAGCCAAAGCCAACTTAGCCACAGGAGCGAGGCCAGTGCCTCTCACCCCAGCCCCTGGCCTATCTCCAGTTGAGGTGACACAGCAGACAGCGGTGATAGCAAAGACCAGGAAATGTTGAACTACCCAGCCTGTCAACCTCCAAGAACATGAAGA